GAAGCGCTCTCAGTTTCAATAGAAGGTATATCTATCAATGGAGAAGTTTTGAATAACTTACGTTTTGCAGACGATACAGTAATAATTACGGATAACAACAATGATTTACAGAACGTAATGCAACGCCTTAATGAACGCTGTCATGAGTACGGACTGAAGATAAATTTAAAGAAAACTAAATGCATGATCATGACTAAATCTGCACATGCAAATATCCAATTAACTATTGAAGATACTGCAATTGAGAGTGTTAATAACTATAAATACTTAGGAACATGGATAACATCAGATGTAGACCAAACCAAAGAAATTAAGACACGTATTGAAATAGCACGTACATCATTTATTAAACTTAAAAAGTTTCTTTGTTGTCGGGATATAAGGTTAGAACTACGCCTGAGAATGCTTCGATGTTACGTGTTCTCTACTCTTCTTTATGGTCTGGAAGCTTGGACACTAAAACAAGTTCATCTGAATAGGTTGGCCGCCTTTGAATTTTGGTGTTACAGAAGAATCCTACGAATATCATGGACTCAAAGAATGTCAAACATGGAAGTAACTAGAAGGATAGGAAATGAGGCGGAAATAATATTAACTATTAAAAGACGAAAACTTGAGTACTTGGGACATGTGATGAGAGGGCAAAAATACGCATTATTACAACTTATTATGCAGGGCAAAATCCGAGGAAAGCGAAATGTGGGAAGACGAAGAATATCCTGGCTTAAGAACTTGAGGGAATGGTTTGAATGCAGTAGTGCAGAACTTTTTAGAGCGGCAGTCAACAGAGTCCGCATAGCCATGATGATTTCCAACCTTCGATAGAAGATGGAACTTAAAGAAGAAGAAATTGTTTATATTCTTTTGAATTTATTCCAGAGTATTGATCTGTCAACACTATGTCCACTTGGTAATTGTCTGTTACCATTTTTGTAAATTTTATAAAGTCCATTGCACTTTGATTCTTAGATGTTATAATATAAACGTACCTTATAAAATGGTCAATTAATATATGGAGGTACTTCTTTCTTGACCGACATCCACCAAATCCTACAACTGTGTCTATAGAAACTATTTCAAATGGTCGTTTTGCTGGACGTAAATGTGACATCCATTTAAGACCCAAATGTGTTTGTCCTAAATGGCAGTAGGTATCGTGTGACCTTTTTAGTGCTACCTGGAATGTAAGAAGTATGCATCAGCCTGGAAAACTACACAATGTTATTAAAGAGAAGGAGAGGCTAAATATAGATATACTTGGGGTTAGCGATGTACAGTGGTCAGGAAATGGAGAGATATCAATAAATAACCACAATATTTATTACACTGGAGGAGACAAAACTGATCATCGGTACGGAGTAGCTTTTATCATAAGCAACACTATTAAAAAATCAGTGTTAGGTGTGATTCAAATCTCAGAAAGAATAATAATGCTAAAAATTCAAGCACGAAACTGTAATATTAATATGATCCAAGTTTACGCTCCCACTGCTGATAAGACCGAAGATGAGATCGAAAACTTTTATTTAGAATTGCACAATACAATCAAGTTAACAAAATCTAGAGATATTATTTACATTTTAGGAGATTTTAATGCAAAAATTGGAGTAGGTACAGTTGAAAATATAGTTGGACAGTTCGGACTAGGAACTAGAAACGAGAGAGGAGAAAGGCTCATAGAATTCTGCCAAGAAAAGAATATGGTAATTGCCAATACTTGGTTTCAGCTTCCTAAAAGAAGACTATATACATGGACGTCTCCTTCACATACAGAAAACCACATTGTCAGAAACCAGATAGACTTTATACTCGTAAATAGCAGATATAAAAACTCTATAACCTCAGTTAAAACTTATCCTGGAGCAGATGTTAACTCAGACCACAATCCGCTAGTGGCTGACGTGAAAATAAAATTAAAAAGAATTGAACTCAGAAAACAACAACCAAAAATTAACGTAAGAATGCTACAAAACGAAGAAATAAAAAACGAAATAAAAAATAATGTGAATGTTAATATGCAAAAAACACTAACTGACAACAAACAAATTATGGATGTAAATAAAAAGTGGTGTAATATAAAAAACACATTACTGAAACCAGCTCAAGAAAGTTTAATAGAACATAAATCAGAGGCTAAAAAAACACTGGATGAAAGAAGAAATACTATTACTGATGGAAGAAAGAAGGAAATATAAAGAAAAAGATCTACAGAAGTATAAAGAAATACAACGAATAATTAAGGAAAAAATCAAAACAGCTAAGAAAATCTATTTGATGAAGCAATGTAAAGAGATAGAAGAACTAGAAACAAAATATGATATGAGAAATATGCACAAAAAAATTAGAGAAGTGACTGGAATGGGTCGAAATAGACAGCAAGGACACATAAAAGACAAAAAAGGAGTACTACTAGTAGATTTACGAGAGAAGTTAAAGCGATGGGAGGAGTACGTTAGAGAACTTTTCCAAGATGAAAGAGGTGAAATGCAGAAAATACAAGAATTAAATCCTTTAGAGATACAGAAGATCACGATAGATGAAATCAAATATGCTATCAAAAACTCTAAAGACAATAAGGCAGCTGGATTAGATGAAATACCAGTAGAACTCTTAAAACTAGTGGAAGAGGACAACTTGGAAGTATTGGCAGATTTATTCAACACGGTGTACGATACGGGAATAATACCACAGGAGTGGCTAAAGTCAGCATTTATAACCATCCCTAAAAAACAAGCAGCAAAAGAGTGCTCTGATTATCGAACACTGAGCCTCATGAGTCATACTTTAAAAGTTCTGCTAAAAATAATACATAAGAGAATATACGAAAGGCTAGAGGAGGATATTAGCGAGACGCAGTTCGGGTTCCGAAATGGAATGGGTACTCGAGAAGGACTATTTGCCATCAACATATTAATTCAGCGATGTCGGGATGTGAATGTTGATCTACACTTGTGCTTCGTTGACTACGAAAAAGCTTTCGATAAAGTAAGACATGAAAAACTAATATCAATACTTATGAACAAGCGCATTGACAGTAAAATCGTAAATATAGTGCAAACATTATATTGGAACCAAAGTGCCATAATTCAAATTGATGGGCAACACTCAGAAGAAATGAAGATCTGTAGAGGAGTTAGACAGGGATGTGTGTTATCACCACTTTTGTTTAACTTATATTCTGAAGAAATTTTCCAAAACGCGCTCAATAATATCGAAGCGGGAGTCACCGTTAACGGAAAATTAATTAATAATTTAAGATATGCAGACGACACTGTGATCATAGCAACGAGTATAGAGGATCTACAACATCTTATCGAAAGCTTGAGTATAAATAGTGCTGAGATGGGAATTACTATAAACGCCAAAAAAACGAAGTACATGCTGATTACAAAAAGGCCACAAAATATACATCACCTATTGACAATAAATGGTAACGTGATAGAACAAGTAGAAAAATATCAGTATTTGGGAACTTTGATCAATGAAACCAATGATCATACTGTAGAAATAAACAGACGAATAGAGATAGCCAGATCAGCATTTATACGAATGAAGCCACTCCTAACGTGCAAAAATCTAAATTTGGAGATCAGACTACGTACCATTCGCTGTTATATATTTTCAATATTATTATATGGAGCTGAGACTTGGACATTAAAAAAATGTAATTTAAAAAGAATCGAGGCCTTCGAACTCTGGTTATACCGCAGAGTATTGAAAATATCATGGACTGATAGAATTACAAATAAAGAAGTACTGGAGAGGGTTGGTAAAGAAACAGAACTAATCACCACTATACAAACCAGAAAACTGGAATACCTAGGCCACGTGATGAGGGGACCAAAATATGAAATTTTGAGACTGATAATACAGGGAAAGATTCAAGGAAGAAGATCTGTTGGCCGAAGGCAGAACTCATGGTTAAAGAATCTACGTGATTGGTACCAATGCAGATCGATTGATTTGTTTAGAGCAGCAAGTTCTAAAATAAAAATAGCCATTATGATTGCCAACCTCCGTAGGGAGACGGCACTCTAAGAAGAAGTCCTTTTCATTAGATCTAGATTTTTCTGATATTAAAATTTTCTCTCTTTTTCTTATTTTTTCTATAAAAGATTCCATTCTTAAATGTCAAATTACTATTGTCTATTTGTAATAGTGGTTTACAAACTTAATAAAATCTTCCAAGTTTTCCTCTCGTTTTAATACTGGATTTCTCTTCAGACAGTCCGCTTCTGGGTTTGTTGCCCCTGGATTATATTTAACCTTAAAGTTATATTGTGATAATTAGTAAGCCAAATAACCTAATTCTTCATCCGTTCTAGCTTGAAAACTCATATCTTCCAAGGGTTTATGGTCAGAATATATTTTAAATTCTTTGCCCATTAGCCAATATTGCCAATATTTTACTGCTTCTTTTATGGCTAATCATTCTAGATGAATCTGTGTATATTTGAATTGGACCATTTTGTCAAATATCTTCAGAATTGGTTATGAACACAACCTAGTTTTTAACGTATCAAAGGCTTCTTGACATTCTTTTGTCCAGATGAACTTAATATCTTTCCTTATTAGTTTATATAGTGGGCCAAGTATACCTGTTTTGTGTGGTATAAATTTTTGATGAAAATTTATTTTTCCCATTTCACTGGTCTCACCGAATTCTTTTAGATTATGTGGCCTAAGTATTTTGCACAATTTTTCGCAAATGAGCACTTTGATAATATTAGTTTAAAACCTTCTTTCATAATTGCTACCAATAATGTAGATATTATGTAAAGTGTGATTTGTGAATGTCCTTGAGAATATTATATCATCAATAAAGTTTATTGCAGAATCTGACATTTTATATTTTCTTATTATATTACTCAGTATTCTGTGGAAAATCTTTTTAGGGGATTTTTAACCTTACTGTAGATTTAAGTCCAATTTCTTTGCGATTTCAATACATGACATATAGCCGCTTTAAATTTATCTACTAATACTTTATTTTTTTACAGAAACTTCAAACAATCGGCGAAGATTTTTGCGGTCTTGACGTGAATACACCTCTGGGTGGTGAACAACCGGTAGCTGCTGTACCAGTTCTACTTTTCAACACTCGATTGACAGCTGTAATTGCTACATCCACTGGTGATTTTACTGTCGTCTTCATCGGCACCGCTACAGGCCATCTTAAGAAGGTAAGAAATATATGATACAATATTTTGTCCGGAATGTATTAACTTAACCAATGTATTTTCAAATAGTAAATATGCTTGACATGAAAGGGTTTTGTGGTATTACATTTTCAGTAAAATCTCATACTAAAAGCTTGGTTACATATTCACTCTATTCTTATTCGTTTTCGTAATACCACATTCTGTTAAACATAAATATACAAGTGATCAAATGTGTTGGATAAGTATTTTTGTCTTTGCTTTCACAGTGAACGTTTAAATGGTTTTTTCTCAGATTTCCAAATTACAGATTGGAAAATACAAAGAGATTACAGTTTAAATTCATCTAAAACGAGAATCAAGAAGAATGCTACTTCTTACAAAATATTATTTTTTTGACAATTGTGTCATATGATTTCTAAATGTTAACTTTAGGCTAGCTTTAAACTTGCGATTTGTAGTCGCGCGATTGTTTATTCTTACACTTATCGATAAGATTACACTCACCCTTAAGAATATTAAAAGACATCAAAGAATACCGACAATAGACACAAGAAAACTTAAAGAACGTAACGTAAAAGAATGCCTCCAACATGAACTGCGTGTTACCTGCAGCAAACTGAACACAAAAACCAATGATATTGACTGGGTACTGGGATCGACTAAAACATTGTCTACTGGAACCCTGCAAAGAAATACTAAAGACTTCCGCAAGGAGAAAAGAAGAATTGATGAATGACGAGATACTCAATATGATGGAACAACGGAGACAATTTAAAAACAAAGACAACAATAAATACAGAGATAAATCACGATATCAGGAAGATGATAAAGTAGGCAAAAGAAAAATATCGAACACCTTCAAAATAAATGTGATATGTTTAACCTACACAGGAAAGTTAAAGAACTGGCAGGACTAAGAAAACAAAATCCCCCTCGTGCAATTCTGGATAGACACGGAACTACTATAACTAGGGTGACCATATGTACTTTTTTTAGTAGGACAGTACTTTCTTTTCAAACGCTGTCCTATTGTACTTTAAAATTTATGAAGTACACCTAAATGTACTCTTTTTCTTAATTACACAAAATTAAGTCCTACTTTTTGTCCAAACAAAATATAATTATGATTCGAATTGATGCGCTCACTATTGATTACTTTTTACCGACACTTTTCATCGTTTTTTATATTATTTTGGGCTGTGTGGAAAAATAAACAATTTCATCATTGTCAAAAAATGTCATTTTAACGTCGAGTTGCAAGCAGAGTATCCTTTTATGAAACAAAAATCAAATGTTTCAACGCATATTGTGTTTTGCCAAGTTTGTAAAAGTGATGTTGATATTTCTAACAGTGGTCGCAGTAATATCAAACAACATTTGTCAAAGAAAAAATACATGTTGGCTACTAATGCGACCTCGGAGAGCAGCAAATTGCAAACCTTTGTTAAAAAAGAAAATTTAAGTTCTGAAAATATGTTGATTGCTGCAAAGGAAGGTACTTTTGCTTACCATAAAATTAAGCATTTGCAAAGTTTCAGATTCTTAGACTGCACGTCAAAACTAATTGTAAGCATGTTTGAACCTAAATTTGCGACAGCTCGAACCAAGACTTCGGAAAGCAAATTTCGTCAGCATTACAATCGATTCGTCGAATCATAGAGAAATTAAAGTTGTACCCTTAATAGTAAGACATTTTGATGGAGAAAATGGTGTCCAAGTAAAATTACTTGAGCTACGTGACTTACCTGGAGAAACATCAGAGCAGTTAAAAGATTACGTGGTCAATGTTTTGAACCACCATAATTTACTACAAAAATTCATCGGAATGTCTGCTAATACTATAAATACAAATTTTGGTGGAATGAGAAAAAAAAAGGAGTGAATAATCTATTCAACAAATTAAATGCTTCTCGTGGTAAACCCGTGATTGGAATTGGTTGTGTGGCACACATTTTTAATAACTGTTTACAAAATGCGACGGTCGTCTTACCCATAAACATCGAGGTTATTGCGGTCAAGATTTTTAAGTATTTCTATATTTTTACAGTCAGAGTGGAGAAATTAAAACAGTTTTGCGATTTTGTTGATATCGAGTACAAAAAATGTTGTCGTTTTTAAAAACAAGATTTTTGAGCCTAATGCCAGCCATTGAACCAATTATACAAATGTTCGAACCCTTGAAAGCATATTTTTTGTCGATTGATAATTGTCCAACAGTTCTAAAACAGTTTTTTCAATCAATGAAGCATGGATGTGGTTTGTGCATAACATTGCGTCTCTCTTCCACAAAGTGATTTTAGATGTAGAAGGTGACAAAATATGCGCAACGGAAGCCGCTTTGGAGTATTTCGAACTTATAAATAAGCTTCAAAATCGCTGAAATAAGTTATTTTTGCCGCTTAAAGTAAGAGAGTCCCTTTCAAAACTTGAAAATATGGAAGACCTTGACCTTAGTGTGAACTATCGGGATATCTTTATCACGCATGTCAAGCAGTTCTATTCAAATTGTGTAACATATTTGGAAAACTGGATTGAAAATTTTAGTAAACTAAGGCTATTTGGATGAGTTAACTTGAAAAAACAAGTTTCTTGGGCTGAAATTTTATCGTCGTGTGAGGCTTTCAAAGACTAAGTAGGTCCGATATTGAATCAGAACGAACTGTTTGATGAAGTTAGTCTAATACGAACCTACGTTACAGAAAATAAAATCACAGACTGGAATTCGAAAAAATATTTTTACCGAAGATCGATGGCTCGAAATCTTCCAAAAAGAAAGGGCTTTGAAAAATCTCAAAATTCTATGTGAGTTTGTTTTTTGTCTGCCGGGACCAGTACCTCTATTGAGCGGTTGTTCTCAAATATCAATAAATATTGGATCAACAAATCGCAGTTGAAAATATCTACTTTGGAAGCCATCATGCAAGTCTACACAAACTTCAAAGTTACGTGTAATGAAATGTTTCTGTTCTTAAAGAGTAGGCCACAACTTCTGAAGGAAATTCATAGTTCCAAAAAGTACGACTGGTACTAAAATGATGATCAAGATGTTCAGAAAGGAACGTCGAAAGAAAATTAACTATTAAAATTTATCATACATTTGTTATGACATGTACTTAAGTTTGATTAAAAAAATCGTTCTTATCATTGTTTCATTAAAGATTCGTAAAATTTTGACCAGAAAAATTTCCTAGAGCACTAACAGTGTACATATTTTCTTAAAAATTATAAATGTACTTTTTTTTTGTTGAAAAATTATGGTCACCCTAACTATAACACATACGGACGAGAAAGTACAAAGATGGGCAGAATATATCGACGAATTGTTCGATGATGAAAGAGGAGATCTGGAGCACATAGAACTTACGTCAGAAGAAATAGGTCCTTATTACAAAGGAAGAAATATTACACGCATTAAAAACAATGAAGAGTTGGAAAAGCCCTGGACCTGACATTCTTCCTATAGAAATCCTAAACATTCTAGATGAGAAGCACATTGATGTTTTAGTGACACCATCAGCTTGATGTCTCATGTGCTAAAGTTACTATAGACGATTTCATCTTTCTTGGCGTGTGCGTGTAAAAACACTTGCAATAAGTTGTTTCATCTGTCTTTCCTTGTCTAAGCTCGATTCGTTTACCTCCTCCAGTGGCAGCTATCTGTATTCGTAAAGAGGCCGAACTTATCACCGACACCGAATTGTCCAAACGTATCGGTGTTATTGCTACAATACTGGGAAACGTGAGTGATGTCTTCATTCCCTTCTCATCGCACTTTACCATGACAAACGTGACTCGCACAATTGAATTACGCATCTGTGTATCAGAGAGAGACGAATATTAAAAATTCCGTAGTAGCTTATTTCAGGCACACGCCAAGAACGATGAAACCGAGTTTACTAAAAGTCATCCATAACCGAATATTTCACAAACTGGACATAGACGTTAATGATACACAGTTTGGTTTTCGCAAAGGCCTAGGAGCGCGTGAAGCTCTTTTTTCACTTAATATACTCATACAAAGATGCCTGGACGTCAATCGATATATATATATATATATATATATATATATATATATATATATATATATATATATATATATATATATATATACGCGTGTTTTATTGACTATAGTAAAGCGTTCGATAAAATACGACATGAACAATTAATGAATGCCCTAAAATCAAAGAAGATTTACTACAATAACCTCAGGATCATATCAAGTTTATACTATAAACAGCGAGCAAAAGTACGGGTTAACGAACAATTGTCAGAAGAAATTGACATTAGACCTGGAGTGAGACAGGTATGCGTATTAACACCAATTCTCTTTAATGCCTACTCCGAAGAGATCCTGAAAAAAAGCTCTTGAGGATGAAACAGCTGGAATAAAGGTAAATGAAGTTCCCATTAACAACATTGGATATGCAGACGACACTGTGATCTTAGCCGAAAATATTGAAGATCTTCAGAGACTGGTGAACAGAATAGCGGAGTATGGAAAGAGTACGGTCTAACAATGAACTTCAAGAAGACGAAATTTATGAGAATATCGAAAACTCAAAGAAATAACGAGAATCTTCTAATAAACGGAACCAAGGTCGAACAAGTGGACAAATAGGCATATCTGGAAACAATGATTGTCTCCACAAATGATTACATTCAGGAAATCAAAATCAGAATAGAAAAGGCTAGAGCAAATTTCAACAAAATGAGAAGGGTGGTGCTATGTGCGAGGGATTTAAAATTGGAACTAAGAGTTAGGTTGGCGAGGTGCTATGTTTTTTCGAATTTGTTTTATGAAATGGAATCTTGGACCTTGAATGCGACATCAATAAAAAAACTGGAATCATTCGAGCCGTGAGTCCTAATAGCTATGATGATTGCTGACCTCCGCCGCTGAGATGGCACTTGAAGAAGAAGATTGTTTATTCGCAAAGATTGAACACATTGAATAGGTAAAGAAATAATAATAAGACTTACTCACAATCAATTTAATTTAACAATCAGACGACCGGTTTCGC